AAATTCACTGTAAAAATGTGAAGTGGGGTGTAAAACACTTATGAGACACGTCGGAGTAGAAACGAGCAGACCCACTGGTGCAATGTGAAAATCTAAATCCCATTTATTTCCTTTATGACTCCAGTTTGTATGCGCCTCTGCTGGCAGAGCGTCAGCGTCCATGAGAGGCACTAGATGGCGCTGATGCTCTGCCGTTCCTCTCTGCCTCGGAACGACAGAAAGGGAAAACGCCTGAAGCCAGATTCTCAGCAATCACACATGTTTCAAAGGAACCAGTGCTCGCTATCGTCACACGGGAACATGTCGGCTCTGACAGACAGAGCATGACATGAGAACCGACGTGGACGTTATTGTCACTCAGCGATAGTGTTGTTCAATCAAACGTTCCAGCAGCGGCACATTGTGGCCCCGGGCTTCAGGGGCAACACGAGTCTGATTCGCCGCCCGTCAGCTGCGAGCACATCCTGGCAAAAAGCGATGACCCATTTCCATCACATCTTTACATTCCTCCTCCTCTGCCGGCCCTGCTATTTGAATTTAGACCCGGTCGATGGTGTAAGAGGAGACGTCCGAGCTTTTTGCTCAGCGAGTCAGACGCTCCCTTTGTCTCAAAGGATCGAGTCGGCGCCCATCGAGGCCTTTGATGTTCATAATGAGCGATTCCCTCAGCTCAGCCCCGCAGCGCTGTGCTGTATGTTTCTGTAAAGGATGTGAATGGGTGTGCGTGGGTGCTGGTGCAGTGGGAGAGGAGCAAACATGTTCTTCATTAAAGATGAAAGGAGAGGGAGCTTTTACTGTCTCAGACATTTATGCCAAGTGTGAGGACGTGTGTGTTTACAGAAAGGAGAAATTGACCTCTGACCCCCGCACTCATTCGTAGTTACCTACAGGCTCATCCACACAGGGTACCTGGAGTCATGTGTGGAGTGGATGTGACTCAGTGCCACACTGGGCGCATATTCACTGGGGTGGACATTTTCTCAGGTCCTCAAGCTTTTATTTTAAGCTCATATATACGATCACTCCACTACATTTAGTGAGCACATGCAGCTTTTTACCATTAACCTTTGTGGGGGCAAAAGAAGCACAAGCTTCTGTCAGTAAGGGACGATTATCTGGCGCCCGTACAGTTTGCTATGTGGTTGATATGCAGTATTTAGAGACCATCCAAAACTGCAGTTCTAGCATTGCTGGATATTTATTTACAATTTACTGGTTACATAACAAAATTAGCTGTCAAAGTAATCCAGTTACTTTGGAGAAACTGTTACAGTAATGTTGAGTTACCAGAAAGAAACAGCCGTTAGCAATTAGCTTGCACATGATGGGGGGTGTAGGCTACCGTACCAAGCTTTTTCGACGCTGGCAGCGTTAGCTACAAGCTAGCTAGTGTTGTGAACAGTGCTGTGGAGCGGTGTTTAGTTTGCAACAGCTCATTCAAAATGTGAAGAGCTCCTTACCAGCTTATTAACTCAGTAAATGCATAGTTACATTTTTAAAGTAATACTTCAGCAGTGTAACAACCATCCACTCAGGGTTTGTTGACGAGTCATAGTTCAGTTTAAATTATTTCATGATGAGCTGCAGCACAAGAAGCACGAAACAATCATACAAACAGTGAAATGACTAAAAATGTTTTTTAAAATAAATATTTTAACTAGGATTTAATATAATTAGTTTAATTTCTGCACCTTTGGCCCTCTGTGGAGCACATGAAGGCGACACTGTCGTGGTTTTGGGTCTTGTGTAATCATTGTTGTATTCCTAGAGTGACTTATATGTATTTATACTTCCTCGTTCAGTTTTCTTACGTTTATGATTTTTGTGATTGTTGTGGTTCTGGTGTAGTTCCCTTTAGTGTTTCCCTGTGTTTTGTTCTCAGTGAGTCGTGTGGATCTCAGTCTGGTTGTCATCGTCGTTGTCTCTGAGTTCTGTCTTTAGCGTCCTTTTAGTCAGTCAGTTGGACTTAGTTTCGTCCGTTATCTTCTCCCATGTTTACTGATCTTTACCTTATTGACAAGCTCGTGCGTCCTTGTCTCAGTCTTGGTATTTGTGCTACTTCCTGTCTTACTTTGATAGTCGTTGTGTTCTCATTACGTCTGATTTGTTCCTGCTGTGTTTCCACTTCCCTGATCGCCCCTCAGTGTGTGTCTCCTGGTTCCTAGTGTTGTCCCAGTGTAGGTTTTCATGATTAGTTCCTCGTTCAGTTTGCTGTTCTTATTTTTGTTCTGTTTCCCAATCAGCCAGGATAAACGGCTCACCTTTGCCTCCATACGATCTGCTGGCCGCAGGTCTTGACCTACACTGCCACACAGACTGCTGTTTCATGCTAGGTAGCCTAAAGCTAATGTCTACATACCATGTCAAAGGACAGTATTACCAACTAGGAATGTTGGCTAGCTGATTACAGCCAAGACAGATGTCTAGTAAAAAAGGCTTGTGAAGCCACCTGCAGCGCTACAGCCTGAGAAAAGGCGTATGTGCACTGTTACAGCATTGCCACAGCTGATAATGCCAGTGTGTGATGGTAGTGGGAGTCGGCGCTAAGCTGGTTTCCAAAACAGAGTATGAGACAAACGGGGAGTTTTGATAGCCGAGCATTTCAGTGCTGATTATCGGCCCGTGTTGATAGATCACAGCTGTGTGTCTGTGAGACGATTTCCCAGCAGCTGCCAGAGCCATATCAGCATTTCTTTGGATAAACATGTTGAATGTGCTCTGCAACAGCCAGGCGGACAGATTTGGGCTGATAGTGTCCTTTATACAAATCATGATAAATCCCACACGGCCTCGCAGCAATGTTAGGCATGTGCACTTTGTCATATAATTCAAAATGAAGCTTTCTCCGGACGCAGACATGCAGGCAAGTGTATTCACACACGATAGAATAGAATAGAATTCAACTTTATTGTCATTGCACATGCACAGGTACAGGGCAACGAAATGCAGTTTGCACCCATCCAGAAGTGCTTTAGTGATATAGATATATTACAATATATATTAGCAATAATATAGATATGTGAGTATATTACAGAAATGGGTCTATTATGGTATGTTATAATGTACACGGTATGAAGTATGTTGTGAATATTCTATAACTATAAGTATGTACAGGCTGTAGTGAGTACAGGCTATGTACAGGATATGAACAGGATATAAATATGAAAAACTATACAGAATATGAAATAAATAACTTTACAGAATCTGAGATATACAGCTATACAGAAATGGGAACTATGCAAGTTATAAACAGTTGTAGGGTTAAAAATTATCGAATGTACAGAATGATTATTTACACAGAGCTATACAGTAGTGCAGTTAAGATAAGTGAGGGTGTAGATAGTTTCTGGATGGATGGATGCAGTGGTTCAGGCTGGAATTGAAGTGAAATTTATTTTGGTCAACAACAACACAGATGATCATTTTACATAAAAGTACTCAATCAATTCAGTGCACACGTCTAAATCAGCAGTTTGCTGAGAGAAGCAGCAGCTGTAGATGACAGCCTGCAGGGGTTCTGCTCTACAAACGACATGCTGTCACTGTTTGTCTTCATTAAGGTGAGTCAGTTTCACACTGTTGGCACAACAAGCACAGCTCAGAACCCACTGCACTCACATCTTTCCATACTGTGCATTTACATCCTACATGTGTTGATTCTGTGCCAGGACATTAAAACAGCTGAGAGCATACGCCGTCCCTCAGTCTGACCATCGTTGGTTTTTCTTATTTGCTTGCTTATTTCAGTTTTTCTTGTATGTAAATGATCTGTTTCACTTTCATTCATTTCACTGTTAGTTTTATTATTATAACACAGGCGGGGTTTGGGAGGGGCAAACCAAACAAGCTGGGTGATCAAATCGAACACAGCACTACCATGAAGACGACTGGCACATTTAACAAAGACTCAGTCTGTGGACATTCACTGCATCCCTGCTTCCTTCAGATTTGGTTCAAGTTAGCTAGAATAACTGGTGACCCACCGAAGAACATGTAAGAGTGAAAAACAGTCGTGAGTTAAAGGATGACAGGGTGAGGAGGTTATTTATGGATCAGTGATCATGGGGAATTCCTCAGATGCCGTTTGTATTCCTAGAGCCCAAATCCTGGTGTTTGGAGTCTTTGATGTGTCTTTGAAGTGATCCCACCAGTTTGGCAGCGGATGCTTTAGACCTTCTCAGGTTCGCTGCTACACGTTTCTGAGGTACTTTCCCCAATTTTGATTAGTTAAAGCTGGCTGATGAGGCCGGCGTTACCTAAAGGCACGCTTTCTTTTTCTTTTCTGCCCGTTTACTGTTGGGTCCAAATCAGTCCAATATACTGACAAGTGAGACGGAGTGTAAATGACTCGTCTTCCCTGGATTCTGCTCATTGTTGTGCTGAACAAACTGGACCAGAGCGCCGCTCTCACAGGCACAAACCTGTGCTCGGAGAGGCTGTGTTTACAGTGGAAGAGAATGAATGGCTGTTCTGTAGTGAACAGCTGCCTGCTCACTGTAGTCCACTCAGGACTGCAGCGTGTTTACCTCCGAGTCAGGTTTCATTTCTCTGCAGCTCAGGAACAAAACTGCATCGCTTCACCCAGAAGAAGGAGCGCCTTGTGTCGCTGTTTGGGGCACGGCTGGGAGGAGGGGCAAGCTCAGGGGGTGAGGGTGCGCGCGTGTGCGTCTGTGTGTGTGTCTGTGTGTGTGTGTGTGTCTGTGTGTGAGAGAGAAAATGAAAGAGTGACCATGTGATTCAGGAGGGGGCGAGAGGGCGGAGACAAACAGGCAGACAGTGTGTGTCAGCAGAGTGTTTGCCACATGGCTTTAGCCCAGTGTGTGTAATGACAGCCACAGAGTGTGTGTGTGCGTCTCTGTCTTTGTGCGTGTGTGTGTGTGTGTGTGTGTGTGTGTGTGTGTGTGTGTGTGTGTGCATCAAGGAGACACAGTGAGTGAGAGACCCTGATGAAAGGAGAGAGAGCAGCTTCCTGTGTGCATCCTGCTCACGTTCTTTCTTTGTGGCTTTTTTGTTTTTCGGGGTTTTTGTCACACCAGCAGCGACATGTTTGTTTAGACCTGTGGTTTCACTGGACCCTCCCACTGCACAGACCCTCCCACATCTGCATCAGGTAAATTCAACATGAGCACTAACATTGGAGCAGAGGGAAGCAGAACATGGTGCAAACGTGGTGACGGACTTCACGGCGTGTGAGCTCATGTGGTTATTGTGACTTCACACGTCTACAGTGAGTCGGAGCTGCAGTCTTGCTAACTGGATCAATTCTGAACCAAATGGCGCTCCAGGTGTGTTTGTGGCGTCGCTGCAGTGAGAGGCGGTTCATCAGCTCTCTGTGGTTTCAGTATTTCTTAGAGAAGGGGCTGTTCATATTTCTTGGCAACACCAGAGCGACATTCGGTAACATTTTCCAGCTGTGCGCCTCACACTGACGTTACTATCAGTGACGAAAATAAATGATGAGGTACTGTATGACATCATCTTATGAAAACACTTCTCATAAGTACCTGGCTACTCGTTTGTACTGGAAGACATCCATATGAGATTTTATAACCCAGTAACAGAGACACTGATGCTGAGCCTGCTGCAGCTGCTCCCTTCAGATTTGGTCTTTGTCCTGCCTGCACAGTTAGTGTCTGTGATACAGACTCAACAGGCCGAGCTTGGCGGTGGGACCTGTTCTCTGCAAAGCCTGAGCCAAACAAGCAGCGCTGGCTGACATGTTGCACTTACACTAATCCAGATGTGAATGTGCTGCGTTCAGAGCTGCTCTGCTCCATCAAATGACTGTGTGCAAGTGAAAGGGTGCCTTGTAGTGACACAGAGTATGTGACCAGACGGAGCATCTTCTCATCAGCACCGTGCACTGACTGCTGGTTTTTATTTTTCTCAGGCCACTAACACTCTGTGGTAGGGAGCAGGTGGACGAGACTGGGGAAGTGGAGGCATGCTCTGGAAGAATGACAGTCAACAGAAGCGAGACAGAAAGGTGAACGCACACGGAGTAGATGGTGAAGATGGATGAGATGAAATACCTGGGGTCAACCATCCACAGTAACGGAGAGTGCACAAGACAGGTGAGGAAGAGAGAGCGTGGAGGTGAAGTTCAGGGCAGCAGATGGCAGTGAGACCTGCTGTTCGGTTTGGAGACGGTAGCACTGACAAAGACACAGAAGGCTCACGTTGTTGCTGCGAGTGAGCAGAAGAGATGTGTGTGTGTGTATATATATATTATCGTTTTAAAGCCTGGATCTGCTGGAGCAAACAGTCAGCCGTGCTGGTGTGTGGCCAGTTCAACGACGCACATCTGGACCTGGAGACAAGTCCTGTTTGTCTCCAGCTTTGCCTCTGAAATCTGACACACACATTTTTGCCCTTTTGTAACTCGAGCACATTTTTATTTTATTGATTTATCTTTAATGAAATGAGTTGAATTCCCCTCTGTCAAAGTTGGTGCCTGTCGCGATCATATGGTCTGCCTCCACCTGCTCCCCACTCTCACCACAGATCGCAGGGACTCATGCATGACCCCATCTGCTGACCTGTCCATCATCACTGCAAATAAGGAGTTCAGAGCCATCTGTTATTCCTACTGCACGACTTCACTGTGTCACTGCCCTCATCCATGTCCTGCAGCAGCCTCACATCCTTCTCTGACACTCCTGACCTCCTCCTGCAGAAGTACAGTTCCTCTCTTGGTTTCTTTCACAGACACAGTGAAGCTCAGCGTCTCAAGGCTAATTCATGAGAGTAACTGTTGGATTACTACTTGCTAATGTAATAGCTAAAGGACCCAATTCTGGCTGATCAGATGTGTAGATTAAAACAAAAAAATGGCACATATGCAACTTTAACCGGATGCAAATGCAGCTTTCTGTGTTTGATCCCATGCATATATATTTGCAGCTGTCTGCAGCTTCAAACAGCCACAGATACATTTGATCCTTTCATCCTGTGACTCTCAGGATTTAGTTTCACAGCAATCACCTGCTCACATAGCCAACCAGGCAACATGTTTACTGAAAAAAGTGGACTCTATACTCATACTTTAGTGCCAAAGCTAGCTAACATTAGCCAGAATAGGCTACTGATCCTACCACAGGCTAGACATCCTGCACTGAGCTCAGGAAATGTAACTAAACTGAACATCAGGCGTCTTTTCACAGAGTGAAACACACAGTGTCGAGTCAATACTGTGTCCAGCCAGTTAGTGTCTTAGCACAAAGTTGCAGTTGTACCTGCAGGAGCCTGGGCCTGTGAGAGGCAGCTGTCTCTGAAACATTGGCTGCTTTATGGACCAAAGGGGAGAGAGAGACGCATACAGGCTGTGCTGTTGTCAAACCCATCAGAGCTGGAACGCAGCTTTCTGGGTGCCTGGCAGAGGAAACAGCAGCACGGGGTTCCCACACTGCAGCAACTCTCCAGCTAGTGATAATAAATCCTTTGTTATGTGAACTCATTCTGTGGAGAGCATAATCAGGACGGAGGCACTCTATCCACCCCCAAACATCCACCCAGTCCCATTCTCATACCGATTTCAGCCGTGTTGGACCTGAACACGCTCCTGGAGCTCTACTCTTGCTGACAGCGATACTCCTGACCTCAAACGTGATCGGTGTTGGATTTATTTTCTTTGTTTTGTGGAAGGAGACGACTGTGCTGGGCATTCACCAGCAGAGGACGGTAACAGCCTTATAATTCATACAAATTATACTGTCTCGTGGCAACTCAGTGCAAGACCCCGTGTGAGTAGATTAATGAATGCTGCCTGTTGTGGGTTACAGATTTGGAGCAGTGATGAGAGCATCCGTTACATTCAGGCCGTTAGCATCAGAGCGCTCCTCAGTGGGAAGCTTCTTGAGTGTAATCGACCTCATTCCGATTTATAGAGCCTGTGTTAGCAGTTAGCATCATCTGTGTGTGTCGATTACCTGGCGATCGTGTCCAGGTGTTTCAGACACGCTGCACAATCACAGAAACAATACAAAGCTCACACTTTTGTTTCTGATTTCAGGAATTTGCTGACATTTGTGAGACAATAACTGTTAGTAACAATAACTGTTACTGAGTAACTGTTACTGAGTAACTGTTACTGAGTAACTGTTACTCAGTAACAGTTACTCAGTAACAATAACTGTTACT